GAGGTCACCTGAGGTTGCCTCGGCGGCCCCAGGTGACCGAACGCCATCGGAACCGATTTTTCATCAGAGGAGTGAGGACCCGCCTGAGCCCCGGCTCTGCAAACGGCAGCATTCCGCCTCGCGACAGACGACCATGGTGGACACCGGACTAAGGCGACAGGACACATCGATTCAGACGAGCACATCCAGACCTGACGTACTGAGGTCTCAGGATTATGCATTCCGGAGGGGGACTGCCTCAAGGTGCAAAAGTTTTGTCACGCACCACCTCACAATATTTCGGTGGCCTCAAAACCAAAACTAATAAAAAGACGACACAAACAGAATTTCAGCAGACGGTCGACTAGAAATATCGCAGCCCTGACGGAATTTCAGAATTTCGGTGATAAATAGAAATAACCACACAGCGACGGCACTGCGGCGGTAAGCTAGTCACGATGCTACCGGCGCGGATATTGCACCTGAGCTCCCGCTCCTCCTTTTCAATGCCCCCCCTGCCTCCCCACACCCCCAACGACCCCGCCCATAGATGCCGCTCTTCCGGCGGCCACACAGTCGACCCAAAGGCCGTGTTTGCCAGCGCCGGTGAATGCCGAGCTGCCGCAGTCTGTTCGGTCGGATAGCATTGAGCAGGACTGGAGTAACGTCCCAGAGCGGCGCAAACACAACACCTGGTGCAGCCCGGGCAAAATAACGAGGCAGCACAGCCATCGTAACAGGGGGAACTGGCAGCGCGGGCCCTAATGAATATCAATATTTGGAATGGAAATCCAATCAGAGACAATTGTTATATCAAAATTGCTCTCAAATAATCCACGGAACATTTGAAGGGGAAATAATTTCAAAAAGAACTGAAGAAGCAATATCCTGCTCAGTGCACCGTTTAACGGGCCTTGGCTTATTCGTGATAGCTCCATTAATGTAAAAAATGAAGATACAAAAACATTGTAATGCAAAAGTTTGTTCAGGCCCATTCGAGCTCTTTCTAACACAAAAAGTGTGACCACAAAATCCCGCTTGCAAGTTGCAACGGACCCAACACTACTACACCGTCGAATGACGTTCTGCCCATTGACAATAATGTTCGCGACGGACTTCGAGCATTTTCCGACCATGCCCCTGCAGCGCCCTCTCAAAGAAAACAAACGCCTAAACCAACAAAACGTACGCCATTTGCTTACACAACTTCGCTGGCATCCAAAAACTTTGCCTGGATTCATTGCAAAAGGTGAGACTGAGCACCAGGCTAGCTGAAGTTCCCACTCTTCAGGCAATGGAAAACAAGTATATCTGGATATGGCCCAAGTTTAGGGTATACTCCAGTTATGAAACAAAACTGACTCGTGTTTGTGGCTTGATGAACGAAATCTGTTCAGGGTTTGCTACACGCTGCACGTGAAATTTTATTCCGAGATTCAACAAATCGTCAATGCATTTGACTTCAATTACCTCGAAGGTGCTACTTCGGTTACCAAGCGCTATGTGGCACACGATGAAACATAGCCCTGAATCTAACAAATCAATTACATTATCGTATACGCGCATACAAACGTCACGCGTTATAAGCAAGCACCCACATTTAACGTTTCCGTACCACTCACATCACCCATAAACGTCAAAAAGTGATATTTATAGCTCAATTTGTAGCGGCAAGTAGGGCAAGGTATACGGTATAGCACCTATCGCCGACTGGCGACGCGTGGAACATGTGTGTCGGCTATTATCCAACGCTTAACGTGAAAGCATTATGGATTAAATGCAGTAAACGGTCTGAATATAGGCATCGACTCTACCACAACGTTTTACCGTAACGGCATAAACCACAATATTGGACAGGTGTAAAACAGTTTCCTTCATTTTGAATGGCCAGTCTAATCGGGTCACAGGGGAAGGTTTAGGGTCCGCTTAACACCTGACACCGTGAAGTTGATCAGTTTACATCGTGACCGGGGCCCGGGCCAGTACTGGTGCAAATGAATCACCTGAACGACCATATATTTCGGGGCCTGAGAGGCGCTGACAGCACCAGCAGCGAATGGATCGCACCGATATGCACGGGAAACGCCAGTCTCGGCGACATGGGATCCCCACAGCCGCCCAGCTCAACGGGCGGAGGGTTCACAGGATCAGATGCGAAACTTGCTTCAGCCTGCTTCAAGTACCTACTGCAGTGAGCTCTGTACCTAGTGCCGTCCCTTTAGTAGAGTGCCGCTCTCAAAGATCCCTGAAAATAAGCATTGAGATAGGCTGTATGTCACAAATCACTCCTATCGGAATGTCCAGCGACGGTAGCTTTGTGAGGACATCACAAATAACATACAAAATAGTGGGGTGCGTGTTAAAGCAAGATCGATAGTAGTCAACGCAAATAGAAATACCATCTTTCCATCATCCATGCGTTGACCGCATGTGTTGACCGCAAATTATTGAGCACAGTGCCAAACTGCCAATGCTGTTATATCCAGTAAGACCTAAAAAGTTCCCAATTTTAGGACATCCGTGTAATCGTGGAAAAACGTTGCAATGGTTGCTCTGCACGGGTTTATAGACGACTGAGCAGCCACTTAATTCCTATATGAAAAAACGTCGATATCGACTCAGTATTCATTATACTATTACTTTATTTCGGGGAAGCATGAAAGCACTTTGATACAGTATAGTATAATTAAGGTTTGGCAGAAAGTACCTCCTTACTTTTTAGTACAGGCAATCGCTTCTGCGCCTGACAGGCTTACTTGAAGAGCAGAAATAATCTATCCAACTATGATTTCGCAGGGCTTTGCAGCTAATAAAACACTTATCTCGTATAAAACACCTGTCAACTACCTCCTAACAGGGCAGGATTACATTGCGCGCCGAGGCTGGCGTCGATCAAATAAAAAGAAAAGAAAAATAGCATCCGACATGATAAATAACGGAACAAATAATATCCGGTAGATACCGTCAACCAATTACGCGCGCGTCGACAGAAGGACCGACTCCGGGTAGTAACGGACCGAGGTGTGGCGGGAGCACCGCGCGACACGAAAAAAAAAAATGGCGCAGGGATGAGAGAAAGCGAACCAGGAAAAACTAATGCGGTGCAAGATGATACTGATTGAGCTCATCATGTCATCTCTTCACTTTTAGTAAAAAGGTTTTTTTTAAATATAATAAGCGAAATTGTAGACCACTCAAAGTTCTGCTGGCAAGTTTTGATCAATGAAAAGAACAAAGTAAAAACTGACTTTTATTTCATGCAATTTAATCCGAAAACCTAAGCAATGTTAAATGCGAGAAGAAACTATAGCATCAATCATATCGATGAATTCGTTTCTTCTCGTACGTTTTGCCGTCCCTCCGTTGCAAACTCCGCAAAATAAGTAAACAAACTAATACCATGCCCATAACGGAAGCGATAAACAGCTTGCCACTTCACCGCGAGCGCTTTCGAGCGGTCTTTTGAACGGCCCTTTCCGGAAGCACACCGAGCAGCACGGAAGTCGCAAACCGTGTTACAGCCTCTCTACCCACCGGCAGGGCGTAGTTCACAGTCGCCCATCGGGCCGACCCCTGGCAGCGGCCCGGGCCGGCCGGTCCCCTGGCGCAGCCTGCAGGTTTACACGGCCGGTTTTACGGCGGCGCCCGCCGGCCGGCCGGCTTTTATATCAGGTGTGAAGTGCCGCGATACGGGGCGAGCGGCGATAGGCCATTGTAGTGCTGATCCGATGACGCAGCGTTAAGGTGCGCCGCCAGCGGAGGGTAGCGGCTTCAGAGAGAGCAGCATCTCGTCTCCGATCGGCCTCCGAGGACTGACAGATTCAGCGTATCGACCGGCGCCGCCGGCAGCTCTGAGGAGCCAGACGAGAGCCGATGGAAATGAGCCGGGCAAAATGAATAAATAAACGCCACGGAAATTTGGAGATGAATAAGAACAGTCCATAGAGCTCGGCATCGCCGCAAAAGTTATCGTCTTTTATTAGATGGAAAACGGTGACTAGTCAAAGACTTCAGAGTTCATTTATAGTCATTTTCCGGGAGTCAAAGATCGCTCTGAGAATGGCAAAAGGAACTGACGACGATTAATGGCGTTGCAGCACTCCCGGTGGCAGTTATGAATTAGACGCGAACTGCGCATAAGACCTATCAAAATGTTGCTCTCAAATGATAATCGCACGGATGGGAAACATACAGAACTTAATCAGGAAATTAATCAGTCGTGAAATGATTTCCAAGCCACGGATCTGCAGTTGCGTAGCTTACAACGCAACGCCGCGTGTGTTCAGTCCACCCAGCTCTCCAATCCACCTAGTTATTTCCTCCCCTGCTTCGTCCACTCGTGAGTGGAACTTGCATCGCTCTATGCGTGACACCTCCACACTGACTCGTGATCCCTCCTGCCGAGAAGAATAACACCGCCAATACGACTGCCCCGTCCCCCACCCCTTCCACGGGCACCTGATCGTGATGAACGAACAGTCGTGGTCTAACTCAGCACAGGCGCGATCGTCTCAGCTGCGCCGGTTTCGTCGGCACGGCTTACTGCGCCACTTTGGCCGGCCAGTTACCTCACCAATCACACTGCGTGCAGCGGCGGGCCGAGCTGTGGTGCGCAGAAACGCTGCACGACCAGCCTGGAGCGGCTCTGGGGGAGGGTGGAGCGCGGCGCGCAGCTGGCTGGGCCGGGCGGAGTGTGGCTCACGTTTGGCTGGGCCGTGCGACGCCGCCGTGGTGCAATGTGTCGATGGAGTGCACTGTATGCTGTCTTAATCGGTTATCTTAATCGGTTATCGGAGACGGAGATCAACGAGGAGGGTTTGAAATCAGAACTGATGAGTGATCACGTCTGACGCGCCTTATTGCTCAAAGACGATTCTTTCTTTAATTCACGAGCTAAGGCTTGAGGAAGCCAGTAACAAGACCAGGAAGTAGTGTCCCACAACCTGTTAAGAGTCACAGGTTGTGGGACTTAAGTATATCATTTGCTTGGGGTTGGTGCATCGTCGAAGCGTAAGCCCTACCTGCATCAGGGCGGTGTAGTGGTAAAGTCCGGCTAGATCTGGACCAATCAGAGCTAAGGTCTGCGGCTGAACCGTGGGAAAGAAGTCCTCGACAGCGGGACGCTTCATAGTCTCATGCGCGCTACCGAAGGCAGCGGCCGCTTACCTGCAACAGCAAGAACACCACCGTCAGCTCGCTCACGCACATATGCATGCACATGTAGGGTCAGCATGGCACGCAAGGCACTATACCAGCAAGAGTAAGGAGTAAGGACACAAGTGCATCCAGCCCAAAACACTGGAAGGTGCGCCTGCATTCGTCAAGATTTTTCACCTTCTTGTGCGAACCTTAAGATTTGTAAGATCATAAATATTTCGGAGAGGGGCATGTGTTGCGAGAAGTGGATCATCAGTAATTAGGACAAGATGATGCGAAACCAAGAGCTATGCCTTCCTATTGGATATCAAAGACAAAACACGATATACCTAATACCTAGCCTGATATACCTATCTTGAAATTTTAGCTTGTTAAGGCTTGCTACCACCAAATAAATAAACATTTCCCGTAAACAAAACTGACACCTATACAATATACAAGTCGGAGGTAACCCAATACAACTTCGTAAGTTCCGAGACATGTATTTCAAAATCTAAGAATTTACATTGCCACAGCTCTCAGTTCAAACCCTCGCGGACAGCGCTGTTTCTTCACGGCAGCGTGCGTGTGAACGGTGACGGGCGAAACACTGCGAGAAACAAAAGCACCTCGGGAGTCCGACGCGGTCTTGAGAGCAGCGTGACGGGGTGAGTGAACGGTCACGACTGTCGTTCGTGACGTGACGTGGCGCAACGTGACCTAACAAGGCGTCACGTGGGTGCAGGGGAGGGTGGGAGAGAGAGAGAGAGAGAGAGAGAGAGAGAGAGAGAGAGAGAGAGAGAGAGAGAGAGAGAGGGAGAGAGAGGGAGAGAGAGAGAGAGAGAGAGAGAGAGAGAGAGAGAGAGAGAGAGAGAGAGAGAGAGAGAGAGAGAGAGAGAGAGAGAGAGAGAGAGAGAGAGAGAGAGAGGCGAGGGAGAGAGAGAAGTTATGCGAAACATGATCATTTTGGGTTGGACGCCTCTTAAAAAAGTATAGCTAAAAACATCAAACACCGCGTGCATAAACATTCCACGCATCACGGTGCTGTACCTACTGAACCAAGAGATACAGACCATATGGCATTTCGAGACGGGTATCAAAGGTAAAAGAACGAGTAGGATTGTGGTCTGTGGATCATTTTCAATTTGCATTGCACAAACTCGCAGGGAAACAGATCGAATTATGAACTAACTAAAAAACATCAGCCCAGCTGTCCCATGGTCGATACTTCTCCCACTCCCATCACGACACAGATCCCATAGTCCCAGTTCATGATCAGACGGACCAAACCGTGTCTCGTGCCATCAATCTCAACTGATTAATGACAGACACCGTCGAAAAACGTCCGTTCTCTGCTCGAGGCCCGCTCCGCTCTCACGAAGTACGGCGCCACAGAGTAGACGGCCGCACAAAACGGGTTATGGTCACAAGAGCCGGGCCAGTGGTTATCATGAATGGGTTATGTACTCGCTAGACACTACCTCGTCGAACCATTCGAAAATCCACTTACAAGTTATTCCACAAACTGTTCAGAAAGTTAAACGGTCATCTATCGCTGTCTATACCTGATTCTGGCTGCTCCTCCAGCTGCGGCAGGTAGTAAGGTGTAGGCAATTCCAGCTTTAGGACGGGGTCAGGGTATTCGCCATTTGGCTGTCTGTCTGGGATGTTTGAGCGGCGGGGGCCGCCGCTCGGCCCCCGCCGCGGCGGGGGCCGGGTCGGTCGGAGGGGCTCCATTAGTCAGCCAAAACACTCGTCCGGTCCACTAATAACAGCGGGCCGACCATCCATCCCACCTCGCCGCCGAGAAAATACAGCCACAGCACCGCCACCAACCTATACAGCCACAGCACCGACCTCCAGGGGCAGGTGAGAGGGGCCCGAGAGGTCGGGAGGGGTTGGAAAGGGTTGGAAAGGGTCGCAAAGAGTCAAGAAAGAGGGGATGCAGAGGGCTGTGGAGCTCCGTAAAAGAAATATCAAAACTGTACGACTTTCTAGGACTTTGATTGAAAGGAATGTAAGTTTGACGCTGAACTGACATTCCGGCAGTGTTATCGTGCATCAACAAGCTAATAACTAAAAAAAAATGACACATTGAATTGAATGTATGAAACGTGAGCTGAGGTTAGCACACATTTGTGATTGATAAATTATTATTTTTCTGAGAAACCAGCCATCCTCTCCCTACCTAACTGAATCGAACAGCGACTACGGCCGTCACCTGCCAGCAGTGGCGGCAACTGGAGGCTTCGTCCTCGATGGCAACTAAATAACGCACCCAGTTTGCACAGCTGTCGCCACTCAATTTCGAGATTCATAACCTTCGAGATTGGGGATCAGGCGGACTGAGAGAAAATAGATAAATGAATGGCATACGCAGCACGCGCCATTTGTCAATACGGGAGGGAGAATATTTAGTTTATTTGAACGCACAAACGAGGCCAGCCAGGAACCAATATCGAAATGTTACTTGCTTATTTGCTTATGCATAACAAAATATTTAAATTAACTATTTTTACGTCAAACTTGCGCCTTTTCACAGCAACAAAGAAAACATGCATTTTAACAACATATTCTTGAAGCAAAATAGTTCAACTTTCGTCTCGCTGGACATTCAAATAAGAGATTTATTTGAACCCGATTTCGAATGAGCCAATACTCGTACAACATTTTCTCAGTAGACTCTGGACCTATCCGACAGGCTATTGAAAGGCTCCAACTCTTCTCACTTCTTCACTATCCAAATCCCTTCTCTCTAGAGCAGTGACACCGCAGCAGCCCAGTCCTCTCCCGCCCCACTGCACGGCGGTCCATTCGGCCCGCAGCGCACCCTATGACCGAGCGCAATAAGGCCGGTGATATTTGGTCGGCGCGCCTTGTTACTGCCTTTGACCAGCAGCCGGCTCATAATTACACCACACAGCCACGGCCACCGCCCCAGAGCGCCGGTCCCGGAGCCGGAGATGACCCGTCTGTGTATTTTCGTATTTGGATTAGTTTGCTCCAGGTACATACGCGGAGCGAGCGCCGCCTTTGGCGGCGGCGTCTCTCCGCGCCGGTGAGGATCGTCGGTTTACAGACCGGCCGGCGAGCGCGCTGTCGTCGCGTCGGTCTCGACAGCACGGCGGCGACGACCCCTCCCCGGTCCGGGACATAAACAGCGGAGAACTCGGATCAACAGACGGCGGTGGAGATGGAGGGAGGGGGGGGGGGTTACAGGAGAGCTCCCGGTGCGCAACTCCACCGGGGAGCCGCCCCAGCTGCAGCGGCGGCCGGCGGCCAACACAAGCAGCGCCTGGCACGTCCCAATTAGCGTTACAAACACGCACCCCGCGCACGGCGCACAAACAGACGGGCTGCGAATATACAGAGCTACAGAGCCGGCTAGCGTCTGCGACACGGTAGCTACACTACCTGAAGTATACATACGCGCGTCGGGCCAAACATAGTCCGTAACGCAGCGCGAGTGTGCCTGGAATGATACTCTCGAGTCCACTTCGCTTCGAAAAACAAGGTTAGAAAAGATATACTCCGTGCATCCTACCGCGGGGCAAAGTGTTTTTCATTTATCGGAAATGTGTTTTGCTGAATGTAACTATAAAAGCGTTACACAGAATTGCAAAATGATCCAGACCATCTCAGCCTTTACATATAATTACAAAAAGCACCGAAAATTATAATTGTACCCGAAACTGCACATGAAAAAACACCCAAATGAATGCTAATAGTATGTATTCGAGCTGAGGTTATGATGTCATATATCGATGATCTAGACCGTCCCTCGAGCAGCCCACAACAGTCACTCCAACCTGGCGTCCTCTCCCCACAGGTCGCACCAGCCCTCCCGTCGACCACGACAGCCCTCGTCGCGACTAACATTGCGCTGGTCCGGTCCGGAGGCAGCCACGGCACGCGTCACGGGCCTCATTCGGGACACGCGCGCCACAGCCGCTCGGCTTGCAAGGCACGCGGCTGGCTCGTCCGTCCGGCAGACAGGTGCAATCTCTGGGAGACCCGGGCGGCTAGGGCGGTGGGCGGTGGGCGGTGCAGTGGTGGGATGTGGGTGGTTGAAGGTGGACGGTGGGCGGTGGGAGGCAGGCGGGGGCGGGGGCGGTGGACGGTGGACCGTCAGGGCGGTAGGCGATAGGCGTGGTTCGAGAGGATAGCGGAATATGGTGGCCTGGGCGAGTTATGTTGACTAACTTGGCTTCTAAGATTCACAGCAGGAAGATGGGAGAGATCATTTTGTTTGTGAATTGTGATGACGATGCTAGTCTGATGTCAAGCTAGATGTAAAAATCGCACAACAGGTGTAAGAATATCATATAGAAAATCACATCATAACGTTGGCAGCATAAACCAGCGAGTGGACTCGAAAATGACTCACTGAAGCTTATCTCAGCGTCAGGGTATTGACGCGAGTGGATTTAGCCACAGGCGCTCACCTAAGGCTTGCTTGTATTCCGGTCTGCTGCCTGGCTTGTTATCTCATTAGTTTGTCAGTCGGGAGCCCCAGAGTGCTAATTCAGACCCAGCAGCAAGGACTGGAAATTAATCTAATAAAATTGGAACTGAGGGGTCCCTACTTTGAACAACATCACAGAAGAGAATATCAGCCATCAGCTCGTGTAGGTACAACGTTATATGCTTCCGCATAAATTGTAATTTTAAAACGACGGCAATAAGCGCCATTTTAGCTTTTCCAGGGTAACTATGAACATTGAACATCCCAGGATATAAAACAATAATACCACTATCCTTCGATCGCCAAGCAAAATAACGTACACACCGCGGACCACATTTAATAGCGCAATTCCACTGAGCCCGATAATATTGACGCATTGCGTCCATCACCCCTCGCTGTGCCACTGGCGACCAATGCGGCGCGTCAAATATGCAACAGTTCTGTGACCGATACGGGCGGCGCCCACTCGGTCATACGTCGGGCGCAGGACAGCACTTCGCGCCTCCCCTCCCTGGGGAGCCCTCGTAACATGGCGCAGTCCGTTAATAAAACACGAGTACGGCCG